ACTTTTAATACTTAAGTAGATTTTGTGTCAGAAATTTACTTTTGATACTTAAGTTAAAAAAATATCAGATACTTTAAGACTTTTACTCAAGTAATATTTTTAGAGAAGACTTTAACTTTCACCAAAGTATTTTTATGATAAGATATTTGTACTTTTACTCATGTATCACTTTGAGGTACTTTATACGACACTGTATATATATTGCTTTTTCACTTGACCTCCAAATACCTTAGCTGACAAAAATATCATTAGACCAATAAAGCTTGAGTACAAACAAGAGGTCTGACTTCAACATAAACTGTAGGTGTGACTCTCTGGTTAAAACATGTTTGTCCTCCATTCGGTGTTTCTTACCGAGGSCAGAGTTTTCAGACATTTTWCTCAAGTAAGAGTAGTGATACTTCACACTAATATTACTCAAGTTAAGAAAAAAGTATGGTGTAGTACAGGGATAGTCAGTCCTGGTCCTCGAGGTCCGCAGACCTGCGTGTTTTACCTTTTTCCTTCTCTAAYAYACCTRATTCAGTCAGTGAATKACCTCTTCCAAGTCCTGCAGAAGCCTGAAAATCATCCATTCATTCAAATCAGGTGTGTTGGAGCAGAGAAACAAGTAAAGCGTGCAGGGTTGCAGCCCTCGAGGACCAGGATTGACTATCCCTATCATTTATTTTTTCCAAAATGTTACTTAAAAAATGTAACTGAGTAAATGTAACTACTACCCACCTCTAGAGTTGTTAACCTGGTAACACATTCATTATTTTATTTCTTTGAATAAAAGGACAGTAACAGTTAAAAGAAACAAAATAAGTTAAAATCAGTTTGTTTAGGTTAAAATTCAGCTCAATTTGATGGTTTACTTTTTATCAGACTACACACAAAAAGCCAACTGGCATCAAAATCCTACCTCATGTCAACAGATTCTTACTATAAAAAGAGTCATTTATTACACATCTAATATGGGTTTATTTATCTTCATTTGTTCCCAGATGTACCTAAAGTCCTCCTGGTGCCAGCAGGACCCCTGAGGGTCCGAGTGGGTGAGCCTGTGTCAGTGGAGTGCAGGGCCACWGGCAGACCACGCCCCACACTGACCTGGCAGCGCCAAGGCTCCTCCATGCAGCTGGCTACAGAGGAGATAAACAACGTTAACCTTCTGAAGGTGAAACTCTTGGAAAAATCAAGCGTTTGACTTTTCAGACAGGTTGAACATAACGTTTGTTTTCCTCAGTGGGCTGCAATACGACCAGAGGACTCAGGAGAGTATATTTGCTCAGCCGGGAACAACGTGGGGGCGTCAGAAGCCAGAATTGAGATCAGTGTGGAGGGGCTGCCTGGATCACCAGTGGCTTCAGTGAACATTGCAGAAATGACAGTAGTAGAGGGACAAACAGTTACGATGGAGTGTCAGGCATCTGGTAAGTCTGCTGCATGCTTGTGATATAAATATGTGTTAATTCTGGTCCCACTTCTTTGAGTGAATTTCCTTCCAGGCTCCCCTCCTCCTGAGATCAGCTGGTCCAAGCTGCGAGCACCACTGCCATGGAAACACACAGTCGTTGGTGGGGTTCTGACCCTGACCGCTGTGGGACGCCAAGACTCAGGGCAGTACATCTGCAACGCAACCAACATCCACGGTTACAGCGAGGCTTACACACAGATGGAGGTGGACAGTAAGTACACACAAATACACAGTTTATGCTTACTGTTTTGTTTTTGATTTATTTATTTATTTATTTAT